CCTCGTTATCTTTTAGCGGGATTGTGTATAATTAAGGTTGACTCTTTTAATAAGAATGTGTTTAAAACTGTATATTGAAAAGTTATAAAAGAATAAGATGTCTATCAAATAAATAGAATTAATTAAATGTATAAAAAACGTATTTTGAAATCATAAATTATAGAATTAAGATTATGTTCAAATTCCCTTTATTCATTTGTTCATATTCATGTTATTAGTTCGTGTTTTATTAAGAATTTACAAAAGATAACAATAAGCAGCATAAATAAGTTTTAATACAGTAAAACAATAAACAAATAAAGTACATAGAAAAAATGAAAGAGGCGCGTTTTCTATGCGCATAGCCTCCGGGCATCCTCATCCTCGGGAGATAAGAACTGCTGTAGATAGGCGCAGAAGACACGCAGGAACTTTATAATAAGCGAAATCCCGCGGGAGATTGAGAGTGAGTAGGGCGTGTACATATTCCTGAAGGCGTGGTCACGGCAAATGCGCAGTGATCCAGGACACGCACCACCATATCATCCCCTCTCCCCCCCCACCTCCCCCCTTCGAGTGGCTACGAGAACGCGGACTCTGAAACCCGAGCGAACGATGGTATTTTGTTTCAAAGGATATCCTGTCAAAGAGAAAGTGTATGGCCACCCCTCCCCCCTCCCCCCGTCCCCACGCACCATCATTTCGTCACATGACTCAATCTATCCTCCGTGAAGGTCTAAAAAACAAAAAACAAAGCAGATACGCAGGCTATTTCTTCAAAAAAAAAAAAAATATCATAGACATGCCCCCCCAGAATGGGTATGGCAGTCAAACACCAAATCCATACATAGAGGAAGTAAATTTGTACGAGCACAGAGGTCTTAATAATTGTCCCTTTTGGGAGGTGTTAAAATCATCTATACGCTCTAAGGGGCATAGTGGGCTTTCTCTCTCTCTCTCTCTTTCTCTGTGTGTGTGTGTGTGTGTGTGTGTAATATATATATATATATATATATATATATATATATATATATATATATGTATGTATATATTAATATATACATAAATAATGTCTGTATATATATGTACATATATGTATATATATATATATATATATATATATATATATATATATATATATATATATATATGTATGTATATATATGTATATATATATATATATATATATATATATATATATACATATATATGTATGTATATATGTATATATATATATATATATATATATATTTATACATATATTTATATATACACATACAAATATATGTACACACACACAAACACACACACACACACAGTTAAACTCGGACAATTAACTTGTTTCGCAATTGCGACTCCACTCCCTTTACCCAAACAATCCCTCCCAGAGAAGTATTTTCAGAACGGTACAAAGTTAACGAAGTCTAGAAAAAAAAGGTTGAATCTCGCCTCTCTAAATTTTATCTCACTGGTATTTTAAAGCGATAATTACTTACATCATCATATAAGGTCTAAATAAAGAGAGAGAAATAAAACACGTGTGTGTGTGTGTTTGTTTGTTTAAAGGACTGCGTTGAAAAGGTTTCTCAGTTGCCCCTGTAATCCCTTTCATCATTCAATTTGTTTGCTATCACAACTAAATATTATAATAATAAAAGTAATTTCAGAATAAGGCCACTATGACGGTACATTGAGAATTTGCTTATCTGCTTCAGCGATCGCCGAAGCATCGAAACGCTCGTAACTTAAACAAGGTTCACATTATCTGGGTGTTCGAGACGAAATTCGAAACAACCCGTGACTGTACTAGAATGTGCAGTGTGGTAGGAGATATGGTAAGACCTATATCATAGTGATTAATCCAAAAAAAAGAAAAAAAAAATATATTTTTTTTTTGATAGGTTCAATTTACCTCTATCCGACAGATGTACATGAAAGTAATTAATTAAAAGTAAATAATGATGATGATTAAGACGATGATGATGATTACGATGAATGACGATGACGATGACGATGGTGATGATGACGATGACGATGACGATGGCAATGACGATGATGATGATGATGATGATGATGATGATGATGATGATCATCATCATCATCATCATCATCATCATCATCATCATCATCATCATCATCATCATGAAAGTTAATTTACTTTAGAGTTTAAACCATATCTCTAATGCGCATACAGATTGGCAGCGTCCAGGATTAAATTTAATTCTCCTCCGGACTAGGCCTTGAGACCAACGATTAATCCTGCACATGCGCAGAACGAGCTACTTAATCCCACCAATCATGCATTAATACGTCATGACAATGCCATCAACTCCATAGAAGAGATGGAGTTGAGTTGCCATTAATATTTATAATAAACAATAACGAAACAAATCCTGACATTTTCATGTCCAAGATGTATATATACATATATATATATATACATATATATATATATACATATATATATATATATATATATACATATATATATATATATATACATATATATATATATATATATACATATATATATATATACATATATATATATATACATATATATATATATATATATATACATATATATATATATATACATATATATATATATATTATATATATATATATACATATATATATATATATACATATATATATATATATATTATATATATATATATATATACATATATATATATATACATATATATATATATATATACATATATATATATATATATATACATATATATATATATATATATATATATACATATATATATATATATATACATATATATATATATATATTATATATATATATATACATATATATATATATACATATATATATATATACATATATATATATATACATATATATATATATACATATATATATATATACATATATATATATATACATATATATATATATATACATATATATATATATACATATATATATATATATATATACATATATATATATATACATATATATATATATATATATATACATATATATATATATATACATATATATATATATACATATATATATATATACATATATATATATATATATACATATATATATATATACATATATATATATATATATACATATATATATATATACATATATATATATATATATATATATACATATATATATATATATATATACATATATATATATATATACATATATATATATATACATATATATATATATATATACATATATATATATATATATACATATATATATATATACATATATATATATATATACATATATATATATATACATATATATATATATACATATATATATATATACATATATATATATATATACATATATATATATATACATATATATATATATACATATATATATATATACATATATATATATATATATACATATATATATATATACATATATATATATATACATATATATATATATACATATATATATATATACATATATATATATATACATATATATATATATACATATATATATATATATATACATATATATATATATACATATATATATATATATACATATATATATATATATATACATATATATATATATACATATATATATATATATATATATACATATATATATATATACATATATATATATATATATATACATATATATATATATACATATATATATATATATACATATATATATATATACATATATATATATATACATATATATATATATACATATATATATATATACATATATATATATATACATATATATATATATATATATATATATAATATATATATATATATATATATATATATATATATATACATATATATATATATATATATACATATATATATATATATATATATTTTTTTTTCTTTTTTTTTTTTCTTTTCTGTGCAGCAATCGTTTCCGGATCGACATTAACATATAATATGAAACTTGTACTGTGTGAATGCTATTTGCCATTACACAGATACGCACTTTTTCATGTAAAACATTTGGATTAACTTTATTCCGGAACTAAATTTCATGACGCGCACAGAAGACGATTTATGTGTTGTCAATACGTTCTCGTCAATTAAAAACCCCGGTTCGAACTCATACAGCAAATCAACTAACAACTCATACGGAAGTCAAAGCCATACAACTCGGTTTGATACCAAATTCCCTCCCAGGTACTGGCTTACGTGATACCTAGAGAAAGAGAAGTGGCAGAAGAGTAGGTTAGAAGCATTCGTTAAAATACTACTGAAAACTTTCGCAACAACTCGTGAGGGCTGGGGAGAGGAGAGGGGGGTAGGGTCACTATTCACATAGGGTTGGCTGGAGAACAGAACGAATACCGGAAAGGCTAGATTCCTAACCTCGTTAACTAATGCATTTTGGAAGCCGGTATCTGTGAAGGGCTGTTGCGAAACCCATGTTGCATGACAAATAAAGAACAAAATATCTTGATCAACACAACATCATATTATTTCTTCTCTTTACAAACAGTAACGGAAAAAAAAAATATCGTCCTTGCTATCCAACAGGACTTAAAATACTTAAAATACTTAAAATACGGAATATACCGTTAAACGACGTACATATCCAAATTCAAAATACTTTATTCCATTTGTTATAATGGCTAGCCTTATTACATAAAAAGTTATTTCACAGTACACATAAATATAAGATACACAAAGAGTTAATGGTAATACATGTAAGTCTTACTTATATTTTGAAATCTGAAGTCGTTGATGATTTAATCCTTTGATATCTTTTTGAATGTATTGATTGTTCATTATATCATGAGATAGTTGGTTTACCTGTCTTGTTTGGATACAAGTTGTTTTACCTATGGCTAGCAGGGGTAATACCCACTTTGGGTAAAAGCCTTAAATAATTTCATGATTTATTATACATGTATCATAGTTGCATATGTATTGTACTTTTAGGCTACTTAGTTTATTTATGTGTGGGTTAAGGAGGCCATACCTATTTACGTCTCTTAGTGATAGTCTCGCAGCAAATATATGTTTGTTTGTTTTTGTATATTCTGAATATGAGCTTTGTTTGTTGTACCCCATGTGTCTGAGCAATAGTTAATCATACTGAGGGATAGTGTTTGTAAAACGCAAATCATAACTTCAGCAAGGATTTTATATGGCTTTGGTATATTAAGATGTCCATTATTTTTCTATGGATGTTGACATGATTCTCAAATGTCATGAATCATTCAGTGTACGCCTAGTTTTTTTTATGGAAGTGCTGGGTCTTACGATAGTGACTGCAAAATTTATGGTAGTAGTAATAGGAATTTTGGCAATGATTTGGCGACTACCAATGAAGATACGTTGTGTTTTATCAGAATTTATCTTGAGGTCATTTATGTCAAAGTGTCTCTTGGGTCGTTTTTATTAATTCATCTAAGCTGTTCACAGAATCACTACGGAGAAATTGTGAATCATCGACGTACTGAAGAAGAAGGCATTTTTGAGCTATGGTTGATAGATCATTTTCGAAAATTATGAACAAGATCGGATATAGATCCTTGTGGAACACCGAAAAGTACTATTTGTTTTGTTGATATATTCTCGCGAATTTTGATTGACTGGGTTCTGTTACTCTGATAACTTTTAAACCAATATGTATTATGTGATTTATTAGTTTACTAATAAGGATTTAGTCAGCAAGTTTATTTGGTTATTGTCTTTATTCTCATAAATTTTATTTGTGATTTATAATAATGCTGTTTCGGTAAACAGCTTCGTTAGATTGCTTTTTCTGCGTGTTTTTACAGCTGGTCAGTTTTTTTCGAAAAAATAAACCGATTTGCTCCTTGTATCAGTGATTTGATACATTTCTTTTGTTTATAATCAGCCTAGAGTGCCATGTCGAATCTGTTATTTTCAAGAGCTTTGTGTGCTATTTCTATCTGTTATGCCTCTCTTGATGTTGTCGTTTATCCATTGATAAAGAGCACGTCTAATAGTTTTTGCAACTGCCGGAAGCACTTCCGTGAAGACATTTACCGGCTTGTCTACATTGTCTCTGAACATTTTCTAAAAGAATTGACTATTTGGCTATTATTTGTTGGCATAGTGACTGGGTCATAGTTAGTTAATTCACGAAAACTTTTATATGACTGTTGGTCGTTTTGATTCTATCAATTTAAGCGTCACCGTTATGAGCTTGTGATCCGCAACATTGCATGGGATGGCGTTCGAATGGACAATGATGTCAGATCTGTTTGCTATTATTAGTCCAATTAAGAACGAAGTGTTTTCCGTGACCCATGTAGGTTTATTGACCATTTGCTTAAATTTGATTTTACTCATTATCTTAATTGACTTAAATGAAATTATATAGGACTAAAAGGTTCCTTTTCAGTGACACATAGAAGAAAATAGGTGCTTCAATAAATAGATATATAAAAATAAAGAGATTCAGAAAACCGCGATGAAGCCTTTGGGCTGCGCCTACAATGAATGACGGAAGCATAATGCATTATACGTTAACCCAAATATCCTGTACATCTGCAGTCTTAACAGTCGTATCGGATATGTCATGTTCAGACATATTCTTTATCATGTTCAAGGAAAGACGGTGCCTTTAAGTGTTTTTTTTTTAGATTTAGATTGATTATTAAATATGATACCGTGTGGGATTAAAATGTTATAATATTTAAGACTTTTAAAAGCTTATCAGTAGACAATGTCTTACAAAATAAATTAATAAATGAAAATAGACAAATAAATATATTTACAATCAAAGCAAAAATGATATGCTTTAAGAGTATATAACCATTACATAAATATGCGGAATTAAATTTTGTTAAAATGATTAGCCTACTTTAGAAAACTAATCAAGACTTTCAATATCACAATCCTCCCCCAGTACAGTTTTCAGTACATATGGGGAGACACATAGATTCGCCTTTGATCTGAGAACACTGCGCATCCTTCCGGTACATATGCGACCGTTAATGGTTCCTGGCATCCCTCACATTGACCGTTACTCTTAGCCATAACCGGCCGATGAGTCAATCTCAAACTTGTTAAAACAACTACTTCTCGGTTGAAATGGACGCTGGTCTGTCAGGGTCACCTCTAATCTCTCGTAGTTTGTTTCTAAAGGTATGTTTTCATTGCTCCCTTCATTTATCATAAAGATAAAGATAAAGTCCCACACCGACTTGTGTGGGAGAGGAAAATTAACATCACAGGGCTGAGCGGTAGCTGCCTTGCTCGTTCCAATACTAATGATGATGATAATGATATTAATATTACTAATAATGATGATGATTATGATAATAATGATAATGATAGTAATAGAAATCCCGATATCATTTATAATTATAATGATGATAACAATAATAATAGTAATGATAATAATAACACATACATATGTAAGCACACACACACACACACACACATACACACACACGCGCACACGCACGCACGCACACACACACACACATACACACACACACAAACACACACACACACACACATACACACACACACAGACACACACACACACACACTTATACACACTTTTCTACAATTCTTCCATTATCGACTTTCTCTCCCTATTATCATATGAAACGAGAGGAGTCTTGTCGTCCTCAGCTTATCTTAATTGGCCTGAGAATAACCTGACACTGATGATGACGTATATAGGCCTCCAATTGACATGATCGACCTATTGTAGTGGAAAAAAATAACATGACCACCACTCTGAAAAATTACTTGTTAATGTCTTTTTTTTTTTTTTTTTTTTTGATGGGTGTGTCGTGTTGTGATGGATGTATCGATATGGGAGATTGATCGGTGTCATTTATTGCGTTAGGATCCTATTTGGGAATGGAAGTAATATGTAATGTTTGGGAGAACGTATCTAATCGCTGAAGAAACAAGCTATTTGCTTCTAAAAAAAAAAAAACAAAAAAAAAAAAAAAAACACACACACACAGACACATATATACACACACACACACACATATATATCATGGAAGTTGGTGATGTCAGTGGCGCCTGTGGTGCGATCGTAGCCCGAACTCTGATACGCAGATTCGTCCGCACACCGAGTAGCCTACGGCAGTATCGTGGTTGATTCTTGTCTTTCTTGGCATGGCGTTTGGCATCAAACTGCTCAAGGCGACGCTCCTCAAAGGCCTTGAACCCTGACAGTGTGGACTGCCTCCAAGCAGTGATGGGGATGTTACAGGCCCGCAGGGACTGCTTGAGGGAGTCTTTGTAGCGCTTGATCTGGCCTCCCTGTTTCCTTGAGCCTCTGGACAGCTCGGAGCAGAAGAGCTGTTTTGGAAGATGGCTGTCTTCCATTCGCATCACGTGGCCTGACCACCTCAACTGAGCCTGTATGATCAGGGCCTCGATGCCAGGCAGGGCAGCACGCCAAAGGACCTCCTGGTTAGTCACACGGTCTTCCCAGTGGATACCCAGGAGTGTGCGAAGGCAGTGTAGATGAAATTGGTCCAGCTTCTTGACGTGTCGGCGGTAGCAGCCACACAGGAGTGATGATAGTACCACAGCTCTGTATACCGCAACTTTCGTCCCCAGTGTGATGGTGCGCTCAAGCCACACTCTTGTCCAAAGACGCCCGAAGGAGCCGCTTGCCTTTGCCAGCTGGCAGGAGATTTCCTGGTCCAGGGTGCCAGACGAGGAGACGCAGCTACCTAGGTAGGTGAAATCCTCAACATTCTTGATCGCCGCTAATGATCTTAGCTGTTGACGCGGCAGATAATTTTAAATAATTAATCAATCAATCAACATTCTTGAGTGGAGCACCGTCAATCCTGATGACTGGCTCTGGCCTGCTGGCACCAGGGGCTGCTTGGTACAACACCTCTGTCTTCTTTATGCTGACTGTCAGCCCGAAGGCTTTCTCAGCGGTGGAGAAATAATCAGCATGTCTTCTTCAGATTGAGCAGCAAGTGCGCACTCGTCAGCAAAGAGGAAGTCGCGAACCAAGGCTTCACGCACTTTGGTGTGGGCCTTCAGACGCCGCAGGTAGAAGAAGCGTCCGTCCATCCTGTACCTGATCTTGATGCCAGTGTCAATCTGGGTGAGTGCGGCTGACAGCATTTCGGCGAACAGCAGGCTGAACAATGTTGGTGCCAGGATGCAGCTCTGTTTCACACCGTTGGTTACAGGGAAGGGCTCAGAGACATCAATCACCGTACAGCTCTGACGAACTTTGGGGGGCAGCCTAGACAGGATGGACCAAAGGCCGGGTCTGCTGACGGTGTCAAAGGCCTTGGTCAGGTCTATGAAGAGCAGGTACAGGTCTTGCCGCTGTTCAATGCACTTTTCCTGCAGCTGCCTGATGGCGAAGACCATGTCGATGGTACCTCTATTCTGTCTGAAGCCGCATTGACTCTCGGAGACCACTCTGTCCACTTGATACTCAGTGATCCTGTTCAGCAGCATGGGTGCTAGGATTTTCCCCGCGATGCTGAGGAGGGAGATGCCTCTGTGGTTGTCGCAGGCAGCCTTCCCACCATTGTTCTTGTACAGGTGTATGATGTTGGCATCTTTGAAGTCTTGAGGCAGCTCCCCCTTCTCCCAGAAGGCTTGTTGGAATAGGCTGATCAGCCGATCGACGATAGCTTCGCCTCCCGTCTTGTAGATTTCAGGAGGAATTCCGTCTGGCCCTGGCGCCTTAGACAGTCTGGAGTTGATTGATAGCCTTCAGTGTCTCCTCTCTTGTTGGACTCACGTCAAGGGTGGGGATCAGAGGTCGCTGCGGCATATCCTGAAGTGCCTGCTCATCGATGGTGGATGGTCTGCTTAGCAGCTGGCTGAAGTGGACTGTACAGCGCTCAAGTATTTGCCCCTTGTCTGTTGGCAGGGTCCCATCGTCTGCACGAACTGAGGTCAGGATGCTGGAGGAAGGTCCATAGACAGATTTCAGACCACTGAAGAGGAGCGTGGCGTGTTGATCGGCGTAGCTCTTCTGCTTTTGCCTCCCACCAAGCAT